TTTGGCCTCCCTCCGGTTCCCTGGAAGCGGGCCGGTGGCCAGCGCGGGAGCGGTAGCAGCAGAGGTGGAGGCTCCGGCGCGTCTTTCTCCGGGTCAGCCTGAGCCGGGGCAGGCCTGGCGGTCCGCGTGGCTGGAAGGGCTTCGCTGCCCGAGAATGGGAATTCTCTTCACCAGGATATGGAGACTGTTCAATCACCAGGGTGAGGGGCTCGGGCCGCGGGCCGCGGGCGGGGAAGAGGGTCGGGCCTGCGCGGGCGAGTGGGGGTCTCCGAATACTTCCGGAGTGTGGGCGGCGCGGCCCCGCGCTCTGTGGGCAGGGTGCGCGCTGCTCCCCTGCGGGCCCGGGAGCGTTCAGTCTCCGTCTGTAGGCACAGGGGTTGCTTCCACCTCGCAGCCCTTTGTCTTAAGGGACCTTCCTGAGAAGCCCCTTCCGCGGTACACCTAATGCTCGGATTCGGACTGGAGTGAAAAAGGTTTCTTGTCCCGCATCCGATCCCCCCGAGGGGCACGGCGCGGTCTGTCTTTGACTCCCTTCCTCGTCAGCAATGGGATTTGAGCACCTAAGCGAAACGCTGGCTTCTTCTGGGTTAAAGGTGTAGGTTATGGCCTTTGCCGCACCACTGAGCACCGGAGTTGCACAATGCGGAAAACGTGAGCGCTCGCTCCCGGGCGATCGAGTACACTTAAGGCTTCCGAGGTTTTCCTCAACCGCCGTCCCGGGAGTGGCGGTGCTGGGGTTCCCTCCGTTTGCTCTGTTTATGTTTAAGGTTAAGCTTAAGGTCATTTTTCTACCCATGTAGATTTGTAATATTTTTTTCTTTCAGTTTTTTGATTAGGTTAAAAATATGTAAGTGCCTTCTTTGAAAGTTTTAAAGACCACCATATGAAACACTGTTATTGGTAGGTAACTACCAAGTTACTAAGTATAGTGTATGGTAGATGTTTAAATTCATCTAACTTAAAATATTGCCTTAAAATTCATAGCCGGTTTGTTAAAATTTGTTTTAAAATGTGTGGAAAGCTAGAGAAAGGACACCGTTCTAACAAAGAGGATGACATAGTTACTGAGTCAAATGTAGCGATGTATTTTTATTTTTACACTCGAGTTGACGATTCATTATCCCAGTTGTAAATTAGTTTGTGATTTTTCTCTTGTCTAAGTTGGTGGCATCACATCTCAATTTCCAGTTAAAATTTAGATCAGCTATGGGAAACGTTTTAAAAACTCGGTGCCCTCTCCTCAATGATGGAGTTGCTCTTACAAAAAGATGGGAAAAAGTATAAATGGGCCAGACGATGGTTTGGATCACAAGATACTAAATGGAACGGAAAGTGGCCTGGAGGGAACCAATTCTAAGCGAAGCTTCCACATCACAGTGGGCTGTGTAAATTGGGAGGAGGATTGAGGGAAGCAGTCACTTAATCTTCCTGGATCTAAATGTTCTCCCCCAAAACACCGAGGATCTGGGGACCTACAGGTCTTGAAAACCTAATCTCTAGGTATCAAGAAGTAGAATTTACATTGTAAAACTGGCAATATTTATAATAAATAAGCTCAATTCCAGCTTTACCATCTGTAATTTTAATTTATTTTTAGCAAAACTTATGTATCTAAATCTCTTCAGTGAGATTTAGAAAAACTTGTTGAATTCTGGATAAAATTATTTGTTTCTGTAATTTAATTAACTACAGTATTGTCAGCAGCCACTTGCTGTAGTAAATAGTAAGTACATTGGTACCATTTCAAATTGCTTTTCCTAGTGTTACTAGGATCTGTATTGTAGTAAAAAAAAATTTCTGAACGTTTGCTTCAGTGTTGGAAAATGAGTAAGAATTAATGAAAACATGGTCTAGAAAGTTACATGTTCATAATGTGAAAGCCAATAAAAGTTTTCAACATTTGTATCAATAGAGTCAGTTTTGAGAATATTTACTCCAGCCTAATTCTACATAATTTTTGGTTGTTTTAGTCATCTGTTTTTGTTTTTTAATGTTTTGATAATCGTTTGAAGTAGTTTATTTCCCCTGAAAAGAGAAAACTGAGGCTGAAGTGCAGTAACTTTCTAGGTCTTATAGCTGTTAAATGAGAGAGCCAGACAAAACACCACAGAAATCTGCTGCTGGTTATTGGTCTTAAAAAGATTGACATCCTTTTTTCCCTCCACCTTAACTGTCTGTAAGTTGCTATGTTGTTAAGTTCTTAGGACTTTGAGTAGTTGCCATTAGCGACTTTTTATGTACTACATAGAAAGGTTTTGTGGTTAGAGGTCTAGTCCGCAAATGTTTTTCTTTTGGGAAACTTTTTGACCAGGACTTGTTCTAGGTAGTAGGTATTCTACAATGAACGAAGAAAAAACTCCTTTCTCAGCTTTTCATTATAATGTAAGAAGATAGAAGATGCACTCATTCCATCTCTATAGATAGAATAATTTGCATTTGCTCACGTTTGTAAGGTTAAGCTCTAAATGTTTACAAAGGTTAGTTAATATAATCTGCATTTAGTTGATTTATTCCTCATACTGTAGCAATCTTACAAGGTATATATGTTCTCATGGGGCAAAGGTATATTAAGTAGTTTTCTTAAAGCACTATAAAAGTGATAGCCCTGAGATTCTAACCAAGGTAGTCTAGTGCTGTAGTTAGTGCTCTTAAAAACAAACACAGCTATTTTGTGAAAGATTTGTGTTAGATAAAAGAAGGAACTCTCTGATACTGAAGTGAACTATGAAAGAAATGGTAGGACTTCCTCATTGATAGCCTTGCATTGTTCTTCTGATTGGTAGAAAAGATACAAGTTACAAATGAGTGTGAGAGTAGCTTTCTAGGCTGCACAGAGGAAGCTACCTCTGCTTCCCTCTCCCCCCCAGTACTGTGAAATCTGAGCAGACTGTACCATTTATAATTATATTGGCTTTTAGCTGCAAATGAGTCTTTCTTTTGCATGTTTTATGGAAATGGAACTGGGTCCTTTAAATATTTTTGTCAGCTGGTAGTGTTAAGCGTTGTTCTCCCACAGCACTGCAGAAGGGGCATGATTTTTCTTCATGGTTATAGCGTGCCCTCTCCATGCAGTTTGAGCACTAGCACCTTCATCAGTGTCTGGTTCTTGCACTGTTTGGTCACCTTCCCCTAGCACCCACCACAGTTGGCTTCATGGTGGAAGACCTTCAATAAAATACATTTTTTTTTTTTTTTTTTTTTTTTTTTTGATAAACAGCAATGAGACAGTTTCAATTTTTTTTTTTTTTTTTTTTTTTGCGGAGCCAGGGATTGAACTCAAGCCCTTGCGCTTGCCAGGAAAGTGCTTATTCCACTGAGCCATCTCCCCGGCCCCAGTAAAATACTCTTAATGAGCAATTTTCCCCAGCATTGTAGAGAGAGGGTTTCCTGACGTGCCCTGGCATCTAACCACAGCTACTTCTCAGCCACTCAATGAGCCATAGCTATGTCCTCCAATAAGGTCTTTATCTCTGAGCTTAGCCCAGCAGACAGGTTGTACCAGCCCTAAGGGAGGTAGATTCTCCTCTTGTCATTCCTATAATCTTTGTGATTCTTTTCTCGTAGTCATTCTTTATTTTGCCAATCTCATGTAATAGTTATTTTCCTTATATTAAACTTTCCAAGTTCAAATTATTGTGTAGTTTCTGTCACTTAATTGGGTCTCTGATTTTGCATGTATAATCATTGTTTTCTTCAGCGACCTCTTGGTACAATAGAAAAGGTTTTTTTTGTTTTGTTTTGTTTTTTCCTGAAACTGGATTATTAATGGCTATAGTTTATTTTCAGTGTTTTTTTTTATTGATACTTTTAAGTTTTGAGAATTGAATTTGTAATGTAAAGTGGCTTTATGAGATATCTTCCTCCTAAACTTTCTATTTTCCAGGTATAATTTACTTGTTCATACATTGAAAGACCCTTTATTAAGCACATGCTTTATTTCAAGAGCAAGAAAACAATAGTGGACATGATCAGTAATAAAGCAGGGTACCTCACAATTTATTTAATGCCTTGGTGTTTGAGTTTTCTGACTTTGTATGATTCAGAGATAGAAGGTCTCTGGAATGACAGTTACCTTTTTTTTTTTTCTCCCTTAATTTACTGACTAGTAGTTGCATAAATACATATTTTTTAGTGACTGGCAATGATAGGAATTGGAAGGCCATCTAAGTAAAAAGGAAATAAGAGAAGGGAAATAAAACAAGTAACATTTTTATGACAGAACAGTATTGATTGTTAAAGTCCAAATGATAACTCAGAATTCCATCAAAGCGTTGTAACACTGTGTTGTTGTTTTGGCTTATCTGAGTAACTGCAGGAATCCTGTAATGTAGATATTGTACAAGCCATATTAAATGAAGCAATAAACTTGTGATGACTCATGCATTAAAGAACTAAAATGAATAAAAATTATATTACATTTGTCCATCTCTTATGCATGTGTATTTTAGATTCTATGGAACATTTGTTTTAAAGCACATCATAGCACTTTCTGACTACACATTTATTTTTTTTCTACAGACTCTTACTCTGTTTTAGTGCGAACAGACTGGGGTATTGACAGACTTTAAAGACATTAAAAATTGATTTAGTCATAGAAAATATTTGTAAACAATCCACATCGTTGAGAATAAACTAGTTTTCCGTAATTGAGTTGGCATCTTTACCGTTAACCATATTACGTAATTATGTCTTAATTTGGGACCTGGGATGTAGTTCAATGATAGAACATTTACCTAGTATGTCTGAGGCCTCTAGATTCATTCTCCAGTGCCACAAATAAATCTTTAACTCTGTTGTTTTTATTATGACCTGCATGGTGCATCTTAGACTTAAAAAGCTATTAAAAATAATCATTGGTTTTTTATTATACAAACTTGAGACCAGCCTTGAGTGGAAGGGGAATGGAGCAGGGAGAGGTTGGTTGGTAATGAATGTGATTTGTAGTTGTTAGGCTTAAGTTGAGCAATGCAGAGCCTCCATATTGTGGTTTCCTCATTGGAATGACCCTCCAAAGAGATCTTTGACTACTTCACACAGCTGTGGCTCTTTGCAGATTTTCTGAATTATGTATTTTGGAGTGACATAAGAATTTATGGAATGTGTAAAACTAGGTACAAGAGGGAGACTGTCTCAAGTAGAGACTTCTTAGCAAAGAGTTAAACAGTTGGAAAGCCCCTGAGACGTTCTAGAGACCAAGTAA